AGGTACAAAACCAGATTAGCATGTGGCTCCTAAAAAGGCACTTCCCAATGTTGTCATTTCCTTGAAGACCATTGCAAACACAATCTGAAAAGTCACATTAAGAAATTATTTATTTATTTATTTATTTATTTATTTGCTGCATTTGTTGACCGCCGCTCTCAGCCCTAGGGCGACTCGCGGCGGTGTACAACATATTAAAAACAGTTACAGTAAGGCACCACAAAAAACCAACATATCAAAATTATCTGCACATTTATGTGTTCCTGCTGCACCTAGTCTCCAAAAAGTACATGCCCACTTCTTGGGGGATTTTAGCCCAGCAACAACTGAGATGCCATTCTAGAATATACATCTCTTCCTTCAGAAGACTGTACAGAAAGGAGGAAAATTAATTGTTAGCTTAATTGCTGGATTTTTGGACTTCCACTACATCATTTGTATCATTTTTACAGTCACAAGTGATTTGAACAAACCCCACTAGAGGGAAGTTGAGTCGGCAGGAGACTCGGCCCCCCTCTAACCTGCGGCCTATCCCCAGGTACATCTGTGACAGGCAACCAGTTTCCTCCCCTCCTACTCTGGTGTTAGTGAATGCTAGGTCCATAAGGAACAAAACTGCTACCATCAGGGACTTTCTTAATGATCAGGGAGCTGACCTAGTGTGTATTACAGAAACTTGGATCCAAGAGGGGGATGAGATCCTACTCCAGGAAATAACATCTCCAGGTTATGCAATCACTCACCAGATGCGGACTGGGAGGCGGGGGGTGGGGTGGCTATGCTCGCCCGAGAAAGTTTTTCTCTTAGGGCAGTTCCTGTGCTGAGCATCTCTGGCATTGAAAGTGTTGGCCTGGTGTGGGATTCCTGTGAGAGCATAGCCTTTCTGCTGGTGTACCGTGCGCCCAGCGCACAGCCTATCCCAGCTGCTTGAGACTGTGTCGGAGTGGTCCCTGAGGTTCCCCAGACTTATCGTCTTGGGGGATTTCAACGTCCACGCTGATGCAGACTCTTGTTCATCAGCGGCTATGGACCTAGTGTCTACCATGGAGACACTAGGACTCTCCCTCTGTACTACTGGGCCCACGCATCGGGCGGGGCACACGTTAGATTTGATTTTCAGCGCAGGAATTCAAGTGACCCAAGCCTCCACAATAGAGGTTCCATGGTCGGATCACTGCGCCCTGAGAGTCCGGTTGGAGCATGCCTACCCACGCTGCAAGGGCGCCGAGCCAATTTGGGCTCGCCCAAGGAGACTTATGGAACCCAGTAGGTTCCGGAATGCTCTGAGGGATCTGGAGCCTGCCAGCGACTCGATCGATGTGCAGGTGGACACATGGAACATCAGGCTATCCAATGCACTCGACGAGATCGCCCCTAGACGCCCTCTCAGACCCCACCGAAATCGGTCTCCTTGGTTCACCGAGGAACTTCGACTGATGAAGCGGGAAAAGAGACAGCTGGAGGGCGCGTGGCGAGAACTCCGTGACGGAGCATTGAGATCAGCTTATGAGGCATTCAGGGAATCCTATGAGCATGCTATCACTGAGGCAAAGCGAGTATATTATGCTTCTTTGATAGCGTCTGCTAGCTCACACCCGGCAAAATTGTTCAAAATAATTCGATCTCTAACGACAGTTCCTACCGTCCCAAAAAGTGGTGATCAGGCCCCTTCAGCCGAGGTTTTTCAGAGCTATTTTGCAGACAAGATCTCGCTACTTTGCCGGGACCTCCCGCCACAATTGATACAGTGAGAGAACTTGAGACCCCGTGGCCACTTGCTGGGCCCATCCTCGACCGGTTCATCCCGCTGGATGCAGGGGTTGTCGATAGGCTCATAGCTGCAGCTAGACCGACCACTTGCTCCCTCGATCCGTGTCCCTCTTGGTTGGTGAAATCCTGCTTGGAGGGATTACGTGACCCTCTGTTGAAGATCATAAACAGCTCCCTTGAGCAAGGAGTCTTTCCAGAGGGTTTAAAAGAGGCGGTGGTCTCTCCTTTGCTGAAGAAACCAGACTTAGATTCTTCGGTTCCCTCCAGTTACCGCCCAGTTTCGAATCTCTCGTTCCTGGGCAAGGTGATTGAGAGGGCAGCAGCGGAGCAGTTGCAGCAATTCCTAGACGACACAGCCGGACTAGATCCCTTCCAGTCCGGCTTCCGTGCGGGGCACGGGACAGAGACTGTGCTGGTCTCCATCACGGATCACCTTCGATGCCAGCTTGACCAGGGCGGGTCAGCGCTGCTTGTGCTATTGGATCTCACAGCAGCATTTGACACAGTCGACCACAATCTCTTGACCCACCGCCTTGCTGTTGCTGGAATCAGGGGGACAGCTTTAAACTGGCTGTCCTCCTTTCTTCACAACCGTGGACAGCGAGTGGAGAGGGGAGGCCCAGGTCTCTGAGAGGTCCCCTCTATCTTGTGGGGTTCCTCAGGGGGCCATTCTCTCCCCTCTGTTGTTTAACATCTATATGCGACCACTTGCTCAGCTGGTTCGAGGTTTTGGGCTTGAGTGTTATCAGTATGCCGATGACACTCAGCTGGTGCTGAAGATGGAAGGCCGACCGGACTCTGTACCCGATTGTTTCCATCAGTGCCTCGAGGCCGTTACTGGATGCCAGCAGGTTGAGGGTGAATCCAGCAAAGACGGAGATCCTATGGCTGGGTCAACCGGGCAGTGGGGACATCCAGCTGCCTACCCTGGATGGCGAGGCGCTACACCCGTCATCATTGGTAAAGAGTCTGGGAGTCCTTTTGGACCCTCTGCTGACGATGGAGGCCCAGGTCTCCGCCGTTAGCAGAACCGCCTTTTTTCATCTGCGGCAGGCTAGACGGCTGGCCCCCTACCTGTCCAGGGACGACCTAGCTACGGTGATCCAGGCCACAGTCATCTCAAGACTGGACTACTGTAACGCCCTCTACATTGGCCTCCCTCTGTCGGTGATTCGGAAGCTCAAGTTGGTACAAAACGCAGCTGCTCGGCTTCTTGCAGGAATTCCGATGAGATGCCACATAACACCAATCTTACTACAGCTGCATTGGTTACCAATTGAGCACCGGATCACTTTCAAAGTGATGGTACTCACCTTTAAGGCCTTGCATGGTCTGGGGCCAATGTATCTGAGGGATCGTCTCACCCCCTACCAACCCCAGAGATCCCTCCGTTCTGAGGACCAAGATCTATTGGAGGTCCCCAGTGTCAAGACCTTGCATCTAGCGGCAACCAGACGCAGAGCCTTCACAGCAGTGGTGCCATCAGTCTGAAATGCTCTGCCACCTGAAGTTCGTGCCCTGCGGGACTTACCAGCTTTCCGCAGGGCATGCAAGACATACCTGTTCCGACAGGCTTTTAATGTTTGATACTGTTGTTTTTAAATTGTTTTAAATTGCTTTTAAACTTTGTTAGATTTTAGCTATTCTTGTAAGCCGCTCCGAGCCCCAGGGGAGTGGCGGCATATAAGTTTAAATAATAAATAAATAAATAAATAAATAAATAAGGAATACTGTTTAAAAGCTGAATTTGGAATAGGGAGACCCAAGTTCAATCTCTCCTTACTCATGGAATTTACCATGCATTCTGTCTTGGAATCCATTGCTTCTCACACTCCACCACTTTTACCACTCACACAGCTCACTGTATTTTCCTCCTACGCCTTCCCACACCTCATGCCCTTTAAATGTACTCCACCCTTACTTCCTGTACACTCCTCCTTATGCTGCTCATTTTCCTACCCTCTCACCTTACCTTATGCCCCTGCTTTTCTTTTTACATGCTGCTGCATATATTGGTTCTGTCTCTTACTCCTTTTTCCTCCTACTGTTTTCCTCCCATTATCTTATAGTCTTGCAATGCACACCCTTTGCTTTTCACATCCTGCCACTCATTCCACTCTTTCCCCTTCCCTTCCACTGCCTCCCTATCTCACAATTGTGCACCCCTTCTTTGCACCACTGCTTCAACCACTTACTACAAGGGCTAGGGATTTGTCTTTTAAAAAGTTAGGGATTTAGACCAGATGATAGTCCAAATATGTACCAGGAATGATACCCAGAATCTTGGAAAACCCTGGCCACATTGGAGACATGACACTCTATGAAAAGGGAACAGAATGCAGCCATAATGTGTTCTCTTATTTGGTATAAAGTGAGAGATTATGGGATGATTTTGTCCTAGGAACAGCATTTTTAAAGAGCAAATATACCATGAGGCATGCTGTGGGGGAAAGAGATTTGTGTGCCATGGCAAGGGGAGGAAGAAGTTGTTTTTTAAAAAAAGGTAAAAACATTCACATCATTGTTGTTGCCTCTTTTAACTTGCTTCCAACTTATGTTGACTCTAGGATATTCACCATTCTCTACACTGTGATGCATTGATTGAGAACTGACTAGTTAATTTATCAGTTTTAATTTCAACAGCAAATTACAATATCAATTTGTTGTTGTTTTTTAATCTGAGGAGTACTGGAGAACAACTGGTAGACCTCACTGCTAGATATTTTGTGTGGTAGTACATCTTTAGAGTTGTTGTAAACAATCAGGGCTGTAAGTCTTCTTCATCCAATCCTGGCGTCTCATCTTTCTTTAGGATGTTGTGTAATCCATTACACTCCTGTCATTTTTCTCCTTCGGCAAAGACCAGCCCACACTGCTAGAATTGGCATTCTCATTCAAAGCTGTCTCTGCATGCCAGAATATTCAGGGAAGGGTCAGCACCTTGTTTCACTGAGCTCTAGAGGAGTCAGTTTCCTGAATCTTTCTTGCCAGTTCTCTCTTCTCCTCAAAGGTGATGCAAGAGTCAAGTGCTCTCATTATGTGTATTGATTTTCATGCCTGTCTAACTGAAAGATAGTTGCCGTTCTGAGCTGTGTGTGTAAGCTTTGTATGAGGCAGCTAGGGAATGAGTAGTTGCCACTGGCAACTAGATCTATGGGCCCTTGGCAAATATATACTCAATTCATTGAATATTTTGATAACATAATTGCTAGAAATAAGAAACAACAGACCTGCCATTAGGTTCATGAAGACTGGAAATCTTGGGAGGATTTGCTGAGGAAGTTTCTTCTTTTTCACTCTGTTAAAAGAATAGCTGTAACTTAGAACAATGTAGAGGCAATTTGAAAGTTGTTATGCTGTTCTCTAGAGGCCATTCTCAAAGGCCATTAAGCAAGGAGCTCTCCTTCTTTCTCTGGAAAGCAAATAAGTAGGAAGCAATCCCCATTTGTGATTACTGTCATTGAGATTACTGTCATTGATGAATATGTTTCAGTGGGATTTGCTTCCCAATAAGTGAAGTCACAACTATAGCCTGGATAAACAAAGAATTTGTGGGAAACTGCTGTAATAACGAATGAAACGTTTTCTTGTTTTTAGTATTATTTAGGGGGCAAACATATCTGAAAGGAATAAGTTCTTTTAGCAAGTCTAAATGAAAATTGCATGGGAAATATTGCATTATAATATTGGTAATAGTAAGGATTAATCTGATATAAATTCACCCCTCCACATTTATAGGTTTAACTTTTGTGGGCTTGATTATTTACAGATTTGATTAATATGTTCTATCTAGAAATTTCTAGATCCTCCAGGGCAACTTTATGGCCAACCTCTGCCAGAAGTTGAATACAGAATCACCCTGGAGGACTTAAGAGGTTCTTAGAGAGGTGTTCTCTGAGCTTTTAAAAGCAGGGTTTTTTATTCATGATTTTTCTATTTTTGTGAATATTCTGTATTCTTAAAGGTCTACTATGCTTCACCCTTGATCCAACATTATATATACCTTCCAACAAAACAATCTACTTCTAATCTCAGTTCATATACGCATAAATTAATGTAATATTTGTAAACATATCAGAAGCATGCAGTGGCATCAGATATGAATTTGTATGATGTAGGCATACACAGTACTCTGTTATGGCACAAGACTTTTTTGAGGAGGCAAAGAATGCCGTCTTCAATACCAACAAGCAGATCAGGTTCTCTTGACACTGACAGAGTTTACTTTTTATAACAGTGGTTTCCCAACGTGTGGTCCGTGGACCACCAGTGGTCCACAAGAACGAAAATATGGTAAATGGCCTCACCATTGCTACACCATTACCTTGAAACCACGCAGTAACGAAAACTACTGGTCTCGCAAAACCCACTTATAGTGCTGAGGCAATGGGGATGTTGGGAGGGGAGAGACTGACTACCCACGAAAGATTACTACTACCACATCAGCTCTAGATTATTAAATGATGTGGTCTATCCAATGCAATTTTCTGAATAACCAAACCAAATCTAAAGTTGACCAAAAACGGATTCGTAACCCTTTTGGTATTAATGTTGTACCCTGGTCAAAGTGGTCCCTTGGTAAAAAAAAAAAAAAAAAGGTTTGGAACCACTGTTTTATAATCATTATCATGGTTCCCAAAAGCTAATTTATCCCTGATGCTGTGTTTTCTCTTATGAAATATGCATTGCCCTAGTTATGCCAGCAACCAGCATTGCAGCCCAAGTTTGCTGATAAAGTTCAAATAGCAAATCTGAAAAAAAGAAGAGCTTTTAGTGCAGTGGGGATATTTGTTTGCTGATCATGATTAATGAAATTGGTGCCTTATCTGAGAAAGGGGTACCAGGCTTACACACAAATCTCTAGCAGTTCTACTGAATGCTCTCATTCAGTAGTCCCTAGGTGAAACACATCTTCATATGTTGTGGTGAATACCTGTTATGTTGCTCAGCCAACTACAGTATATTTTTACATTCCCTTTGGCCATTCTGGACAACATGCTCAGCCCATCCTGTTTGTACCATATTCCCATTCTCAGTTAAAACAAAATGAATGAAATTATTATTATAAGCAGTGATGTACTGATTGTAACCATGATGTTGGTGGGAGTTGAAGCCCTCATAATAATGCGTTTGAAATTAATTTACACATGGGGGAGAGGAGTATGCCTCCTGAGGAGCTGAATTTATTGCTCATCCAAAGGGATGATTTATAGCAAAGTTCTGAGCATCACAAAGTACTGTGTACAAAAATGCAATGTCAGAAGGAAAAAGGCCAAAATGTGATTTAACCACAGTCATTATTCTTGTCTGAGTCTTGAGACTCCTATGGCAAGAGTATCAAAGTCATTGGGCTGTTTTTGTAATATATGCAGATTAGGACAATGAATCTTTACATTTGCACCTTGCCATAATTTTAGCATGGCATCCCAGAAAATTGTACATGAGTTGAAAGTGTTACAACATGTAATTCTTGCAAAATCCAAAGATTCTGACAGTTTTGATTCTGATTCTATTTCCTTTTTTTTATAATAGTTTTTATTAAGGTTTTAAAAAAATAACATCGAAAGAGGGAGAATATTAAAAAAAGATGATAGGAAAGTAGGAAAAAAGTAAGAAATACATCCCCCTACCCCCAGGTCCACCAGAAAAAAATGCAAAAATATAAAAGCCACACAAAATAAAAAAAAGAAAAAAAAGAAAAAAAGAAAAAAAGGAGAAAAAAATATAAAATAAAAATTGACTTCCATCTCTCCATCAGG